AATTATGTGCTACAACATTGTATATTACTAATGATAAGATATACCTATATATATCTATATATCTTTATCTACATTTATATCTATCTCTATATAAAGATATAAATTAACAAATACCCATACTATCATAAGTACACTTCATTGTAACTCAAATATGTCCCATAACTGACATTTCCTCACAGTCCCCCTCAACTACCTGTTCATATAACCCTTTTCTGTTGTGGAATACTGTTTGGGAAATCTTGACACACACTTTTTATATTGACCATGAAACCACAAGTAGAGAGTTCACTGGAATAAGAGCATAATAGAAAGTCAACAGTTACTTCTGATATCAGTCAACATGAGGTGTTTTTTTTAAGAGATTTTTTATTGTTTTTTAAAAACTCTGTATCTAGGGGAGCTCTGGTGGCCTAGTGGCAAGAAGCTGTACTGCAATCCCAGAGGTACACGTTTCAAATCCACCAGATGCTCTGCCGGAGAAGGAGGGACAATTTCCTCCTGTACCTGTCAGATCTGATTTGGCGGTACATGCATAAAAAATAAAAATAAAAAAATTAATAATAATAATAATAAAAATTTAAAAAACTGTATCTATAATTAACAATATATATTATATACACTGTTGTAGCATATAACTTGCCAATACTATCATTCTCAGATGTAAGGTTTCCTAATTTAATGTATTCCTAATTTATCACTCTGTTTTATGACAAAAGTTAAGAGTGATACAAACAACTCACTCACATACTAAGCAAAAGTTTGGAGGTGTGTGCTCTCCCAGAGTACCTACATATAAAGGACTGGTGACCTGCTTCTGAAAAATTGGCCCGTGACAACCCTATGGGTCATTCATCGAGTCATCACAAGTTGGAATCGACATGATGGGGGATGGGGGGGTAGTGGCTTTCAGTAGACCAGAAGTTACAGAGCTCACTGAATTAAGCATACTCTCTTTTTAGGTTTGGACCCCAATCCTTCATGTGTGGGGAGAATCAAGTAAATAGGGGCTCTTTCCTAGGCATTTCTGAAAGACAAACCAGTAAGTGGTAAGGAAGTGCTGCATTCACACCTCAGCTTCTGATGGGTTAGTTACCTCACCAAGCCCTAATGAAGCCAACAGCCCATTTCAAATGCTAATAGGCTTACCTAGAGAAAAGAGAGCTAGAGGTCATAATCCCAGACTGTTTCTCCCAGCAGGAGAACACTTAATATGCTGCATCATATTTGCAGGAGGGTAGGTGATGCTGGAAGACACAGGGTCAATGCCCCTCATCCATTTCTCCTATCTGGTCAGCATTAACTCAGCCAATACCAAATCTCCCAGCTTTGGCTAAGAGAGGAGGGAGTCAGCAAGAATTAAATAAAATAAAATCCCAGATCTATGTTCAGAAGAATCTAACTTACTTTCATCATCTAAATAAATCTGAAAATGGTGGGGAATTAAAAAAAAAACAAAACTAGACTCATTGTCCTTGTAATTTTCTCATATTTCCCTTTTGAATACACGAACGAATGTGGGAAAACAAATTTTATATTTGCAAACATTTCACAAATTATAACTTTAAAATGTTGCATTTTCTAGGTAAAATAATAGAGTGAGAAATAATGATACAGGAGATGCTTCACTACCAGACAGCAGTGAGGTAAAAGCTGTGATGGAAGTACAAGCTGGGGTCTATTTATTTTTACCTATTCCTCCAATAACAATTTCCTCAAGTAAATTGTAGTTCACTTTTAAAAAGAAGAACTTTTAGATAGAAAAAAAATAAACTAAAACCAATCTGCAGCCACTGAGTAGATTCCTATTCATTGTGATCTTCCAATGAGTTTTCAAAACTGTAAATCTCAACAGGAAAAGATGACCTCATTTTTCTCCTGCAAAAAGGGAGCTCTGGTGGCGTATTTCCAAGTAAGTTACCTTGCTAACCCAAAAGTGGTACCTTTCTGGTGCCTGGAATCTACCCGTGGCCCCACAGGAGAAAGATGGGCAATTTCCTTCTGTGTGATTTACAGCCTCTGAAAATCTGATAAAAGGCAAGCTATAAGTTGGTTCTGACAGCATGGCAGTGGGAGAAAGCATTCTCCCTAGGATCAGTTAGTTGGTGGTTTCAAACTGCCAGCCTTCTGTTTAGCAACCCAACACATATTGCTCTATGCCACCAGGGCTCCTAATCAAGTAATGACATGCAGACAAAAGCCATGCTAAACAACAAACACTAAACACACGCCAGTTATGTAATACAGCAAGGCTCATGCACTCACTTGCTCTGTTACAAAATCTCTAAGTTTAAGTAAAGCATCCATGCAAGAATTGTTATAGAAATATAAAGTATAATAATTTCCTTAAATTATGAGCATAATTGATTTCCTCTAATGGACCATTCTACTTGTTCCTTGACCCTAAAAGATTTTCATTTTAGGCCTCCTGTACATTGTAAATTCATTATGACCAACCTAGTTCCCAGAAGTATTGCATCATTAGAGGTACAAAGAAAGAGATTAAAAGCAAAACTGAGAAGTGAATTGTGCCTTAGGCAAATTAATATTACAAGTAAAACCATTATGTAAAAATCACTTGTTTGGCTGCAAATATTTGACTATGTATTATAACAGTATCTTGGAAAATGTTGATAGAATTCTGCATTGAAATGCAGCAGTCAGCTTAAAGTGCAAAGGAGAAAATATTTAGAATGTGAAAAATGGTACAGGTTTAATGAAGTTGTCCCCTTTGGCAGACATCAAGACACACGGAAGCGGTACTGTTTCTTTTCCCTGCTCAGAATGTTCCCTGTGTCACAGAGTTGCCTGTGGACAAATCTATGTTCATACATTTACCTGTAAATTCCCTTCCCTAGAAGGAAGAAAGCATTTTGGGGTAGAAGTTTATACTACCGAGCAAATGAAATGCCATTATTATATACACAAGGAAAATACTGCTTGCCCTTAACTTATTAATGAGTTCAGGGATCTCAAAATGGACTCAGACTACAGAGAGTTGGAAAACAAGAAAGATGTGAATTGTAAAGGTGGAAAAATAAGGCAAACAAAAAAAATTGTGGAAGAAACTACACAATGTACTCAGATTTCCATCACAAATCCAAAGCTAGTATTTTCCCCACATATATTAATTATGGAGCTCCGGGGCATAATCTGTAGGGATTTGCACTGTTAACTCGAAGGCTTTGCCTCTCTAGCTGTTCGAAACCAATCACAGTTCTGTGGGCGAAACAGGCTCTCTCCTCTTGTGTGATTTACAGCCTCAGAAAGCCAATGGGGGGAACAGCTATGAGTCAGGTCTGACTTGACGGTCATGAGTTTTGCATACATAAATTAAACACAAATAAGGAATCAGAGTAACCACCATCACAAACAAAAGTATCTGAGTCATTACAAATACAAGTGGAAAAAAATATCCAAATAAAGGCTGTAGGAGACTATTTTTCCTTACTTTATACATTGCTAACGTAAACGACTGCAAAGTTTCAGACTCTGCAAGTGCAATTAGAGAAACTGAACTTTGTTCAGAGATCCTGGGTTATAGTTCAGCTGCAGACTACACATTTAGCTGTGTAACCTTGACCAAGCTACCAGAAACTTAATTAACACGGAGATTATGAAAAGAAAGTTAGTGGCCTAGTAGTTAAAAGGTTGATGGTTGGATGGGTGGAGGGACAGCTCAGGAGAAGAAGACCCAGGATGAGATGGATTGATTCAGTGACTTCAGCAATGGGAGGAGGTCTGACAGAGACAAAGAGGTCGGCTCAGGATAGGGCAGGTTTTAGAGCTAATATGCAGAGGGTTGCTAGGAATCCCTAGTGACTTGATGGCACATAACAACAACCACCCAAAGACGAATAGTTTGAATCCACTAGCTGTTTCATACCACAAAGACAGGCAATCCTGTTCACATGGCGTACAGACTCTGAAAATCCATTGGAGGGTCACTCATGGGTCTGTTCTGAGTCAGTGGCAATGAGAGGAGAGAAATTATAAGAAAAACAAAACAGGAATTCCAGTTGCCGTTTCCACTGAATGCTCTCTATCTTGTGGCAACGCCATGTGCGTCAGAGCTGAATTAGCTCCAGAGGGTTATCAATGGCTGACCCTTCAGAAGCAGACCCTCTGGCCTGCCTTCTGAGGTGCTTCTCAGTGGGCTGAAACCCCTAGCCTCTCTATTAGCAGTTTAACACATTAACACGGTACCATCCGGGAACCCAAATAGGCACACTCCTGTGACAATGAACAGAGACGAGACCATTGTAAAGACTAAATACTAGTGCTGAAAGAGAAAGATGACTGTCCTCCTTCCTGGAAATTTTAAGGTGTAAAACTGTAATCACAAAAATGGCTTGCAAGTGTCTGCTTAAACAGACTCTTTTCATTCATTTCATTAATCTTTGGGTAATCAACCTATAACATTTCCACAATAGAAGCAATCTTTGTGGAAGACAGGGAAGAAACTTGAAATAGAAAATGTCACAAAATGTGAGGAGATAGTGAAATAGAAAAGAAATAAGAAACACATTTCAGGTTGAAGGAAGAAAACTCAAGAGTCTCTTCCATTTCTACTATACATCAAGATATTGAAAATGAAATATAATTCAAATAGTCTTAATAGTTTTCTTTCCAGATTACTACTTCTTGAAAACTGTTACAATATACTTGTAAAGGCACAAGATAAAATTCAGATTTTTGTGAGTTTAAAACAGAGATAAATTCAGTTTAAATGCTCGCTTGGAAAGAAAAAGGTCCCAACTCAAACCCCTAAAGTCCAATCCTGCCTCAAATAAACCTGTGTGGTTTTTGTTTTGCTTTACTTCCCCTTCACTTTGTATTCATGCCACAATCAACAATATATGGATTGATAGAGAAAAATGAAAATGAAATGAAAGCAAACTTTCTATATTTAAAAATTAAGAAAGAAGAAACAAAGAACAGGAAGAGAAACAAAAGAAAAGAACCTCGTTCTAAATGAGGTTTAATCAAACACTGGAGTCTACCTCTCCCGCTCCTGCTTCATTCGTATCCTCTCCTCTTCTGAAGTAAGGGCTTCCTGCATTTTTATTTTACCCGTTTTCTCAATCTTGTCATCTTTTCGATGTTTGCCAAACCTGTTGATAACAAAAAATTCTATCTTGTCAATGCATACAAAATGAGTTTCCCTTCTTTGGTAACAAAAGCATATGTACTCAATGAAAAATGGGTGTCCTCAAAGTGAGGGCCTAAAACTGTGTCCAGCATTATAATGTTCACTGTGATGGCATAGTTCGTCAAGAGTTGCGCTGGTGACTAAACTGGCAGCACACTAGTGCTTTGAATCCACTAGCCACTACACAGGAGACAGATGGACAATCCCCCAGGCAAGTTAAAGCCTCTGAAAACCCATCATAGGTTTTAGTTATACTCATAAATTCTGAACCCATGACAATGGGTCAGGTGGTAGGATTTTTCAATCAGACATTTTACTCACATTGAATTAAAACTTTCCAAAAGAAAGTCTATGGAAAATAGTCTCAATTTTTCATTTGAAAAAAAAATTACAAGTCATTGTTATTAAATATTATATTGAGTGTCAAATACTTCAAATACTCAGTGAAGGGTAAAATCTGCACTGGAGTGAGTATCTCTCAGAATTAAAAATGATCATCCAAAAATCATCTATTTAATAATCGACCCATAAGTGACTATTATTCTTTATTTTCAGAGTCCAGTTTATTGGAAACATCCATCAGAGTTTAAAAGAAGACAAACAAAGTGATGTTTGCAAGGTTTAAAGTATAAAGAGGAATTTACACTGCTATAATTCTTTGAGTTTATTAAATGGAAAGCTTTGCAGCCATTCTCATCAAATACTCTCCAAATTTGATGACAAGTGATTGTCAAAGGAGGTTATCTTTCATTTAGACGTTTATATCTGATATTTAAAAGTAACATCTATATATACACACAAGGAGCAAATGGATAATTTAAAAACAGCCCACACAAACATCTACAGATGGGCATATGAACTTGAGACTGTTTCAAAAAATACAAAGATTATTTTATTTTGGCATTCAAAACATCCATGAATCCGCAGCCTTTTTACAAATTATTTTTCCTGCTCTCTTAGCTTTTCTGTAAAAGATTATGAGGCCTGGAATGCAAGTCCTACAAACTCTTCAACAATATTTTTCTGTAGTGATTTGGTTACCAGATGTTTCAGAAAGGAAACAGCAATACAAAGTCACACAACTAAGCATTCCAAAATATAGAAAGTTGATACTTTTTTTAAAAAAGGGGAACCAGGAATTAGGTTAAAAGTAAAAAAAAAAATTATATCAGAAAAGACAGGAAGAAAAAAGTAAGAACAAAATAAGAGAAAAAGAAAAATTAAAGTTTGATATTATAAAATTTTTTTAAATTAATATGCATCTGATTTCAAATAATAGTCTGCAAAGGAACTGAAATGTATGAGTGCTTTTCTTTAAATATATTAAAAGAATTGACACTATTTGTGTGAATGGAAATGTAAATAAGTAAAACATTGTCAAAATGTGAAGAGAAACATTAAAATACCATTATCACCATCACTGTTTCTTTCAAGGTTGTGTATATTACATAACAACCAAAATGGCTATAAAATTGTCTCCTATGAAGTGAATACAATTCTTAAAATTTAATCTTACTTGGAAATTAAAATCCACTGCAAATGAAAACTTAAAAAACCCCAACAAACCCTTTATAACTTAAACCTCAAGTCCAACTACATGTCATAGTCACAAATGACAAAATATGTCTAATATGTGCTATCCTTCTAAAAATTAATATTTTCCTTTCCTTAGTGTCATACAGTATAATGAGAGAATTTAGAGAATTAGTGAAAAATAAATAACAAAATGAAAGACCAAACACAAAAACCCTGAATGCCTCCAAAGGAACCAACATCTAAAACATGATGTTCATTCATTCAACAAAAACAAAATATTGAGCAGCTACTATATTGTTTTAAGGCATTGAGTCTAAAGCAGTGATGAAAACAGACAAAAAGCACCACAGCAGTGACAGCATTAACATCAGTTTATATTTAGATTAACAAATTAGTATAGAATCACCAAGTAATAAAAAGCGCCATAGGGGAAAGTGACAAAGAGTGACAGGGTGAGTGATTTTAGACATGTTAGATAGAATGGTCAGACCTTGCTCCTCTGATGATATTGGAACAGAGATCTGAATGAAATCAAGGAGCCAGCCACGTTGTGGAGACTTGACAAGGCAGAGGAACAAGTAAACACAAAGGTTTGAAGATTGGGGGTGGGGTGGGGTGGTGGTGGTGATGGGTGTCATCAAGAGATACCATTTGACCCCGCAATACCACTACTGGGAATATACCCAGAAGAGACCATAACTGACACCCAAGTAGATATATGCACACTCATGTTTATTGCAGCTTTGTTCACAATAGCAAGGAGTTGGAAACAACCTAAGTGCCCATCAACAAACGAATGGCTAGAGAAGCTGTGGTATATTCGCACAATGGAATACTATGCTGCATTAAAAAACAAGGGACTCATGCAATATTACTCAAAATGGTTGACTCTGGAGAACATTATGCTGAGTGAAATGTCCCAGTCACAAAGGGACAAAAATTGCATGGTGCCACTGTTGTAGAATGGGACTGTCCTTGGGGTTGGGGAGAGACTGAGTAAGATGGGTTCAATAAGGTATGCTGCTCTGAAACAGAGAAGGGAGAAAACTGTTTAAAAGAGATATGTGATTAGGTATTTCGGTCATGACAGGAGTCTAGAGCGATGGCTACATGGTGGAGTGGACCTGGGGGAGGGTTTGTAAAATAATGAAAGAATCTTTTCTTTTACTTTTCCAAGAGGGTAATGTCTGGTGGGGGGGAGCCTTGGGAGGGGACAAATCTACAACAATGAATGAATGGAAATCCAAAGCCTCTGTAAATTTTCACTGAAATTAATAACAAATTTAAATTAAACAAAAAAAAAGAATTAAGTTAGAGTAAGGATGGCAATGGAAGCACCTTACCTCTGTAACTTGATTTGTGCCACTATTAGAACCTCTATTATTGCTTTTCAATTTTTGACTCATGCACTTTTAACTTGTTAGTTAAATTTGTATCTTCTAGGCTGCAACACTTCCATGATACATCTTCAAGGATATGAACATGTACGGCTAAGCACATTTGATAACAGTGCATCTAAATTCCAAAATCAATCTCCATAATAGTCTATGTGTTTCCTACTGCCAAAGGGGCTCTTTAGACTAGTGAGAGAAGACCTTCACCCTGAAACCCACAGCATCCCTTTTCAGCAGGAAGTAGCTAAGAGAATACGCCATCCCCTTTTCCTCATGAATCAGGGTGAAGTCTCTCTCAGGGAGGAGTGATAGGGAATGGCAAGGGACACACTGACAAAGGAGATTAATCAGAACTGGCTTTGACAAGCACTGTGGCAATTGGACAATTAAAACAGACATGGGGGGGAAGAAGAACGAACTGGGGATGAGGGTGGAGAAAACAGTGCAACAATGAATGAATGAAAACCCAAAATCTCTGTAAATGTTCCTTAAAACTAATAAAATTTAATAAAATAAAAAAAGGGAAAAAAGTCAGCTCTGATTACAGAAATCCACGTGCAGCAAAACAAAACCCTGTAAGAACAACAATTTGGCTGAAGTCTTAGAGAAACAGAGTACGAAGAAATAAAGATGAGAGGCAGAGCTGTTAGACATGTCTTTCATGTGCAGGTCCTTAGATTTTTACTCAGATGAAAAGACAAACCAATGAAAGATCCTGAACACAAAGTGACAAAGCATGTAGTAGATACAGAGGGTTTATTGTTCACAATGGTTTTTCTAGCCATTGGCTTTGACTTTCACCACATGACTGCGTGGGAACATCAAATAAAGTGTACAGAAACCACTGGTGATGGGATTGGTCCCTTTTCCTATTCTACCAGGTTTAAAGTAGTAGAAAATTGGAACTTTCATTACCAGCAAGAATGAAGAAGCAGAGAATGCAGTGCACACCACCTTAAAAGTCAGATTCCCAGACAGACTGGATAACTCAAAGGCAACAAATTTTCTTCTGTCATCCTTATACACCGTCCAATGTTCAGATGTCTATCAAGTAACTGAAAAGACTGCGACTTGGATCAGGTACACCCTGGCCTTTTAGTCAGGTACACCTTGTTCCTTAGAACTTTGAAGAGGTCCTTGGTAGTAGATTTTCCCAAAACAATATGTCTTCTGATCTACTGACTGCTGGTACCAAGGGTGTTGGCTGGGGAGCCACACCAGATGATATTGTTGACAACATCGATCTTTTCTCCATCTATCATGATGTTATTGCCTATTGGCTCAGTGGTGAGGATTTCTGTCTCAATGTTAAAGTGTAATCTATAGTTAATGCTCTTTGAATTTAATGACTTATAATTTATTTTTAAACTATTATAGCATACTTTCCTTTTCACAGGTATAAGATTGAAGAGGAAAGCAAAAGTAAAGCCTAGATAAAAGGGTAATAGGTTAATATTTGGATTATTATAATTAATGTAAATTTCAATTAATAAATGGTGCTATTTCTTTAAGGCAACTATAAAATCACAGCATACTGTTTTATAATTGAGAGAGAATGGATTCTGTTTGCATAATTTTTTGAAAAGATGAAATGAAAGACAATGAAAAAGATACACTGATTTTCCTAGAATGTAAACAAAGCAAGAAAACAGCTAATTTAGAGTTGCTAAATTTTTCCTGAAAAGAGGTAGTTTGTAGTTTTTAGGTGCATTTGAGTCACATATGACTCACAGTGACCCTATGCACAACAAAGCTGAGCCCGGTCCTATCCTGTGCCATCTTCTCAATACCTAACACACGTGAGCCCATTTCTGCAGTCACTCTGTCAGTCCATCTAGTTGAGGGTCTTCCTTTCCTTTCACTGACCCTCCACCTTTCCAAGCATGATGTCCCTCCCCAAGGAATAGCCTCTCTTAGCAACATGCATAGAATATATGAAACAAAAGAGGAGAGTTATTGAAAAACCTTAATTAGCTATATCTAACTACTCTCAAACTCAGTTTTATAAGCAAACTCTGTAATCAACCCATGA